GACAGCGAGAGAGGGAACACAAGCAGGGGGAGTGGGAGAGGGAGAGGCAGGCTTCCTGCAGAGCAGGGAGCCCAATGTAGGGCTCGATCCCAGGACCTTGAGATCATGACCTGAGCTGAAGGCAGTCACTTACCGACTGAGCCACCCAGGCGCCCTGGAGCCTACTTTAAAAAAAAAAAAAAATCCTTTACAGTACTTAGTGAAAGTTCAATAAATAGTAGTTACTAACTTAATGAAACCAAATGAACAGTTATGCTTAGAAACCTCTTGTAGCCTCAGAACTCAGATTTTGATAATCAAAGGATAATGTTCTTTAGTCCAGTGTCTCACCACTTAGCGCACCATTGTTCAGTATTTTGCCACAAGATGAATCCATTCATCAGACTGATTTTGTTTTAAGTTTTATAGAATAGAGGTATATCCTAGATTGTCAAAACTTTATAGTTGATGTTGCAAAGGAAAGCTTTTCATATACAAGCAAAAACATGATGTCTCCTTACTGTTCATGAATAGGTACGGAGTGACATTGAGGGAGCAACAAGGTCTGTTAGTACATGGTGGGGTGGTAGAGCTTGATGAAGAAGGTAGGGGCTTTGCAGAGAGCTGATGGAATTTGGAATTTTAGCCTTTACCTTCCCAGGTGGGAAAAGCCTTGCCTTGGTAGGAAGGTAATAGGAACACTTCATTTTCTGGGACCGAATGAAGTTGCATTCCATGAGGACCTTCTGCTCTGCAGGCAGTAGCAGGCAGTGATCCATGCATACGAGTGGTTGGGGGATTGCACTGCTGTTGTATGCCAGTGAGGGTAAGGGACCTCTTCCCCTAGGCCGCAGCCTGTGGGGCAAGGAGGAAGCTAAGGGTAGTGGGTACCAAGAAAAGGAATGCGGGGTCATTCTAGTTGGGATTGCTCATCCAGAGATGATTAAAATTTCCAAAATACCATTTTCTAGGATCCTTTCTATTTTCTGTACTCTGTTTTTCTGCACTGCTAAAGTCCCTTCTTCCTTCTGCCTGCACTAACCACAAGTAATCAGTCTGGTGGCTGGGGCTTGGGAGGCAGCAAATAGCCATTTCTATAATGTCAGCCCTAGAGCAATCACGTGGGCAGGGTATGCCTAACCAGAGAATGGAGTTTTTCAGTTTGCATTCATAACTGGAAATAAAGCACTTTCCTTATTCTCCTCCTGCAGGTCGGTGAGCTGGTAAAGGTTACGAAGATTAATGTGAGTGGTCAGTGGGAAGGGGAGTGTAATGGCAAACGAGGTCACTTCCCATTCACACATGTCCGTCTGCTGGATCAACAGAATCCTGATGAGGACTTCAGCTGAGTATAGCTCAACTAACAGTTTTGCTGACAGATGGGAACAATCTTTTTTTTTTTTTTTTTTCCGATTGTCATCTATACAATTTTCTTACAGATGTCAAAGCAGTCTAGTTTATATAAGCATTCTCTTACCTGTGATCTTTTTTAGACTGAATTACATCTCTAGTCTCATTTACCATATTCAGGGTACGAAACTGGAGGGCTCGTGTGTTAACTTCTGAATTGGCAATTTTAGGTGGTAACAGCCATGCCTGAGTGTATCAGAAGGGATGGATATTTTGCCTGCTTTCCCTCAGGTAGTGCAAATCAACCTGTGGAAAACTGATGGACAGGAGAGGAATATTGCACGCTGCTTACCCTGATTTATTCAATGGTTTTGTTTTCATTTTGAAACAATGCTATCAAATGGCAATAGACTGTTCCCTTCCACCCCCATGAAGTAATCTTGCACCGTGTGAATAGTAAGTACCCAGTGGGATTGCTTTTTCATTTATAGAACATGACCACTGTATGACTCATTCTGACAGTTCAAATCCTGAGATTTCTGAGGACACTACTAGAGGCATTTGTCTTCCTTTCTAGTCAATGCTTCATACTTTTTCTTGGGATTCTTTAAATCCTTGTCATTCTTTTCCCCCAAACCTACAAATAGGTTCATTCTCAAGAAAAGTGTTTCTTTTCATTCCAGATGACAAGCAGGATGTGCAGAGCACTTTATTCAGTGCATAGCTTTAAGCCAGTATTGGATTCACTGAGTGGACACCCAAACTCCTCCCAGCTTTCTGCCTTCCCTCAAGGGGTCATAGTAGGTTCACACTGCTACCACAGCTAAACAGACTCCTGGCTAATGGGATCCAGCAGGGCCATTTCTCCTGAGTGCCTGTATCCTATTAGGGGACTCTTTGAAATTCTTAGCTTCTACTTGCTTAGAGTGGAAGGACCAATCACTTAGACTATTCCATAGATGGTTGTAGGGCCAAATTCTGCCCTTTGCTTTATATGCAACTTGTATAAAAGTCAAGTTAAAATTACATGAGTTTGGGGTAGGGTTAGTGCTTTGAAAAACATTTGAACCAATCATGAATTACTTATGTATTACTCATTTTACATGGCCAGAATAGTGCTTGAAGTGCATTACGTTATCAACTGCCTTCATTTTTGGCTCTTTTTCTTTATGTTCCAGTTTAGTTTACAAATCCTTTTAAGTACGGAATGGTTTATATGGGGTCAGGTGCTCCAAAGAATAGACTTCTGAGACCAAAAATGATCTAGGCTATTTAGACTACAATATGAAACCTTCAAAGTTAGTTCCCAGTCTAGGAAGGCACTTACTGGTCTGTGGTGTGATATGACCCATAGAAACACCTTATATTTTGCTTTGGGCCTCATTTTAGAAAAGTAATGTATCTTTCTAATTGTTTTTACATAGGTTAATGATTAATATGCATTCGTTGAACATACCAAATCATGGTATCCCAGTGACTAGCACAATACCTGGCATAGTTGGTGTGCAGATGTTTGTGTGAGTGAATGAGGGGTGTGCAGAAGCTCTTTATACGGCACAGGGAAGCCAGCTGACACAGGATTACATACCACAAGCAAACTAATGAGTTGACGCTAATTTAATGTATTTTTACCTCACACTAAGGTAATGCTTGATAAAGACATTAATATTCAACTTTTAAAAGTTAGCACAGTGCAGTGCATATAGTGGGTGCTCAATGTTAAATGAACAGATTTGCAATACTAGACTTAATTCCATCTGACTACTCTTAAATTTTCAGTTAGAGCATAGATACTGTAAAATTCAAATCCAAATCCACATTAAAATCTTGTTTTCCTGGAAGTATGACATCTAAAATACTTGTAGAAAAACCTTGTCATAAACTGATTTGAATGTTTGTATTTTCTTTTGCCTTTGACTTTGATATTGGCTTGTAATGTTTCTTTTTGTTATGTAATATTAGTGGAACATTCAACTCTACCCAAATCATAAGAATTTTTCAATGATCAGTTGTCTGAAGGCATTATATGAACTGTTAGGTTGGATTTGGCTGGGTGTGATAGTTGTTGGACCTTAAATCAAAGGACTCCTAATAAGTATCTTCCAAAAGCAAATGCTAGAATCCTATTCAAGTGCATATGTACATTGTCACAGAGCAAAGTAAACTGTAATTGGCTGCTATATTTTGTATAATCATTTCTGCAAAAGCCCAGTTTTTGGATACTAATATTTGACATGGTTAATTCTTATTAATTTGTTGGAATTGTTTATTGTTAATAATGCAAATAGATAATTTTTAATTATCCTTAAGTAACATTTCACTATTAATGGTTTGAAATGGGTGGTAAGCAAACCAATTTGAAATAAAATATGAACATGTGCCATTGTATTATAACACTATACACTTTCTTGACAGTTAAATTTAAAAAAAAATGTTTTTTTTGTAGCATGTATTGTATATGTTTATAGTATATGTAGTAAATAAAAATATGGCCAAATGTTTGGCTTGGTGATCTTTTGAAGAAAGTAATCTTTGAATATTTTTCACAAAAGAGCTAAATCTTTTATGCTTAGGGAGTAAGAGGTGTGTACATTCAACAGCCTACAAACGATCATATAATCAGATGAAGAAGCAATTATACATAATCTATAGGTACTTATTAAAGATGAGGTTGATCGTTGGTGATATTTTGAAGGGTCTCCAGAAATCATGAAATAAATTGATTTGAGACGAATGTAAGAGTGATTATGTAATGATCAGAAAGCTGGAATAATGTGGACAGAGAACATCAAATTTGTCCAGAAATGGTTATATGTGGGTGTAAAGAAAATAAGGATATGGTAGGGGGCTTTATAAAGCAAATGAGAAATTTAGATGTTATATAATAGGTTTTTAGAATGTTAGTGTAGATAATAGTGTAATTTCTCCTTTTTTATGTAAGTAGCACATTTTCAGAATAGATAATTTAGTAAATAAAGAAAAGGTCAAACATTATGTTCTTTCCATCGTTTCTCAAAGCATGTGTGTATGTAAAGACACACACAGTGTGACACTATATATACCTAAAAGGTTGACATTATACTTTAGTTTTGTGTCCTACGGGTCGTGAAGTTTTTAAAATGAAAAGGAGAGGGGAGCCTGGCTGGCTCAGTCAAACCATGCAGTTCTTGACCTTGGGGTCTTGAGTTCAAGCCCTACATTGGGCGTAGGTATTACTTTTAAAAAATGAAATGAAAAGGACAAGCTTTGCCAGTTACTTATACAGTATTCTGCCTTGACCCAAAAATAAAACATCTCATTATTGCTGTAGACATAGCAGATTGTCAACCCAGAGTTAAATAAAGGAATCTCCTCCAAAGGGAGCCAACTTTGGCATACACAAGCTTAACAGCAAGGTGATTTAAGTATGTTTCAACTTTTTATCGATAAAAATAAAGTGTTAAAATCTTGTTTTAATATGTTGAGTGTTGGGGTTCCTTCACATAACCTTGAGTGCTCATACCGACTCCTGTATTTATCACCCTGATTTTCAGATTAAATTCTATTCCTCTTACAGATATGAAGAGAGAAGCCCCCTCCATAGAAGAAAACGTGAAAATAGGCCTCCTAAGTTTGGCAGGAGGAGGCTAAGTATTTGGACCTCTACTGCCACGCATACCCTGAAGATAAAAAGAATGGGTGGAGGGCAAACAGGAACTAACTATCAAGAAGTGAGGTTTAGGGGCACCTGGGTGGCTCAGTTGGTTGAGCGACTGCCTTTGGCTCAGGTCATGATCCTCGAGGCCCCGGGATCGAGTCCCGCATCGGGCTCCCTGCTCAGCGGGGAGTCTGCTTCTCCCTCAGACCCTCCCCCCTCTCATGCTCTCTCTCTCTATCTCATTCTCTCTCTCAAATAAATAAAATCTCTTAAAAAAAAAAAGTGAGGTTCAGGGGCACCTGGGTGGCTCAGTCAGCTGAGCGTCTGTCTCTTAGTTTTGGCTTGGGTCATGATCTTGGGAGTTGTGGGATTGAGCCCCGCATCAGGCTCTGCACTTAGCGAGAAGCCTGCTTGAGATTCTTGCCCTCTCCCTCTGTCCTCCCCCGCCAAATAAATAAAAGTGGGGCGCCTGGGTGGCTCACTCAGTTAAGTGTCTGCCTTTGGCTCAGGTCATGATCTCGGGGTCCTGAGATCGAGCCCTGCATTGGGCTTCCTGCTCAGTGGGGAATCTGCTTCTCTCTCTGTCTCTCTCTCTCCCTCCCCCTCCCCCCCCACCCCTTCCCACCACTTGTTCTCTCTCTCAAATAAATAAAATCTTTAAATAAAAGATGAGATTCATAAAAAAGAGCAATGCTTGAGGATCCTCTACGGATATAGGATGAAAGCAAAAAATGAGCACTCAGGCTGGCTTTTAGTCAAGGGGACGCTTCCAATATTTCTGTGGTTGTCCTGATTTTCTTAGATTTGAGATCTGCATTAATCCTATAAAAGTGAGCTCTAGAATATTGACTAAATGGTCAAAGGTAAACTGACTTGGACAGAATTTTTTCTGTCCTCCCACTTCAAATGGGGAAGACTTTGGACATTTAGCTTTCTGGGAGTGGGAGGGAGAATAGTTGTCTATCAGACATGTGGAGGCTGACTTGCTCAAAGCCTCCTCTGTTTGGGAAATTTTTATGGAGTTTCTAGCTTCATTTCAAGCTGGTGACCCAGATGGGCTTCTCCAAGGTTCTGAGTACTAGGCAAGGAAAGTAAAACCCTGAGTTGAGATTAAGATGGGCTCCTCCTCTCTCTTTTAAGCCAGGAAAGTCTGTGAGTGAAAATGAATTTGGTACTATATAAGGGTATAATACTGTTTGTTGGATACCCTTGGGCTGCCCTAGTGTTCTCCATGATGCGGATCGAGCTTCCTCTTCCTAGAGTTGCTGTGCTGTTTGTACAGGTTTTCATACTCAGTGCTACCTCCCTCTCCCCCTAGACCTCCAGCCTAACTGCAGGGTTCCCATGAGCCCTTAACACTTGGGAGCCCTAACACAAAGTCTTGGCTGGTGTTGCTACAGTGTCTAAAGATTACCTACCGTGGAGTGATAGCAATCTTGACCTCACTCATCATTTTGGAATTCTTAGTTTTGAGAGAGTATCACATGAACCTAAGGATACCTGTACTGCCAGAGAAAGGGGCTGTTCTAAATAGAAGTATTTTAGTAAATAAGAAGTACTCCTCTATTATCACCAAAGGGAGAAATGGACTCCATATTTTGCGGGCTATGTAGCTGTCAGGGCTAACTGGGTGCTTCTGTGACTAGTTTTGACCAGGCTAGAGCAGTTCTAAGTGTGGTAGCTCCTACAGAATAGATCCTTGCCCTTGTGAATCTTACATTCTAGGAGTAGCAGGACAAAATCCACACCCATAACTCCCATGGGGGCCCCTGGTGACTTTCTGAAAGGGTTCTGTCCAGGTCACCAGACACACAGCTTGGTGGGCAGCAGCTTTTTGTGAGTAACCACTTGGAAAAGGCCCCCCTTCCTCTATGTGGACAGCCCCATGCCAGGCTCATGGCTTGACAAGTGCCAACAAGAGTGTGATTTGGGTTACAACCCCTCTTGCCTCCTCAACTGAGTACCCTTGTCTGGTGCATGACTGTACATGACCATAAATAGCTTTGATTATTCTGTTTAATGTTCCAGTTGCCTGCCCATTTATAGACGTCTCTCTCCCCCACATCACCAAATTCTGTTGGCTCTGCCTCCAAAATATTCCCTTTATGCCTCTGTCACCACCACCCAAGCAGCCGTCTTCCTTGTGGACCACTGTGACAGCCTCTTCCTGGCCACTCACTTTCCCTCATCTGTTCATTAGAGAGCAACCAGGATGGCCTTCCTTGGCAGACTTGATCATGGCATTCCCTTGTTTAAAAAATCCTTTAGTGCTTCCTCTTAATCATACACAGTCTGCATTCCATACAATGGCCTACGTGGAAGTGCTCACCTTTTCCTCAGCCTGCCTTTAGTCTCTGCTTCTGGCAGGCTTTCCTTTCAGCTTAAATGAGGGGCACCTGGCTGGCTCTAGCATGCAACTCTTGATCTTGGGGTCATGAGTTCAAGCCCCATGTTGGGCATAGTGATTACTTAAAGGAGGGGAGCAAATCAGCTTCTCAGATGAAAGCCCTTGCCCATTCTAGGACCTCCCTCCCCCTGCCCCCAACTCTGGTCTACTGTCTTGGTTCCAGCTTAAATGTTACTTCCTCAGAGATGCCTTCCCTGAATCCCTAAATCTCATAATCAGTCACATCATTTACCTTCATGGTGCTCATCTCATATTGTGATTATATATTTCTGTGGTAATTACATTCCATCTCAGACTGTAAGTCCGTTCCAGCAGGGCAGGAGCTACGTGTGATTTGTTCATTCCATCTTGAGAGTCCAGCACAGAGCCTGGCTCACAGCAGACAATGCATGTTTATTGAACGAAGAATGTTTCCTTCAGAGTTTTTCCCCAGCCAATTACCTCTCAGCTGCTGTCTCTAGTTTTCCTGATCTTGTGTATGCTCAAAGACTGTAGGTTCATTTTAATATGAGAGTAAAACCCATTTAGGAATGTCCTTCTGTTGCAGAAACATGAAATGCTTGTCAAAGCCTAGTCTCAAGGGTTTGGGTCCTTTCCTGTGGCCATGTTCCTTTCCTTTTGCATAGAAGAAGAGGTGACTGGATCACTTAGAGGGGACCTATATTCATAAATGAAGATTATTCACTGGTTGTATCCACTGGTTGTATCTTTAGTTTTAATTCCAGTGTGAACATACAGTGCTATATTAGTTTCAGGCGTATGATACAGTGATCCAACAGTTCCATACGTTACTCAGTGCTCATCACGACAAGTGCACTCTTGGGGCGCCTGGCTGTCTCAGTCCGGAGAGCATGTGACTCTTGATCTCAGGGTTGTGAGTTCAAGCCCCACATTGAGTGTAGAGATTACTTAAAAAAAAAAAAGGTGCATTCTTAATCCCCTTTACCCATTTCACCCATCCCTCCACCCTCCTCCCCTCTGGTAACCATCAGTTCTCTATAGTTAAGAGTCGGTTTTTTGGTTTGTCTCTTTCCCCTTTGTTAATTTATTTTGTTTCTGAAATTCTATATAGGAGTGAAATCATATGGTATTTGTCTTTATCTGACTGGCTTATTTTATTTAGTATTATACTCTCCAGTTCCATCCATGTTATTGGGAATGGCAAGATTTCATGGTTTTTGTTTGTTTTTTTTTAAGCATCCCGACTTTTTTTTAAGTGTCTTTTTTTTCTTTGACAGAAAGGGAGAGAGCGAGGGAGTGTGGGATTGGGGAGGGGCAGAGGGAGAGGGAGAAAGAATCTGAAGCAGACTCCGCACTGAGTGCATAATCTGATGCCAGGTTCGATCTCAGGACCACGAGATCATGACCTGAGCCAAAACCAAGAGTCGGACGGTTAACCCAGTGAGCCACCCAGGCACCCCTGACTCTTTTTTTTTTTTTGCAAAGATTCCATTTTTTTTTTTATGACTGAATAATA